AAGCCTTTTTCTTTAATATTTTGTACCATAATATGTAGATATCTATATTGAGAAAAATAGTTAGGTGCCTATTATGTTTAAATGAACTTATATTAGATATACTATACATATAGGTAGGGATATTGTATAATGTATAATATACAAATAAATACAATGTGTTCAGCCTGTTCAGGCATCCAGGGGGAAATGACTGGCCAACGTCATATGAAAGTATACCAAAAATGATGAAAAAATACCCTTTTAAATAGTTAGTCTAACTTTTTTATTTTTAAATTATAGGCAATTAACTTTTTTACCAAAACTAACCTATCGCTCATTTGTTTATATTATATCTTCAAAACTTTTCAACATTTTGACTTAATTTTGGTATTACAATAATGTTTTTTTTTATCCTGTTAAAAAAATGTCTTCCAGAAGGAGTGCTTCGATTTCCACATATTATATAGGTAGTATCTTTTTTTAGCAAATTGGATCCAGGTGGTACTTTAAGGAGGTAATTTTTCGATCCTCTTTTATTTAACGCCACGATAAAAAAAACACTGAAAAATTACGAAAGAACGAGATTTCAATTTTGCTTTGCAAAAAACGCTTTGTTTGTCACCATAGAAACGAATGATATTTAAATATCGAATAAAATAAAAATATTCTTTCGTCCACTCAGAATCGTTTTTTTAATGAATGTAATCATTGCTTTCAAATYGAATACTGTAAGATTACACTATCCTGTCCGAGGACCGAAGAGGCGATGCTGACCTACTCTTTTTTTAATTTTAAATCTATTTCAGTGTTATATAAACTACAATACTACATACACAATTAAACAAGCAATGTGAAAATTATTATTATTAATGGAAAAAAGTTAACATTTATTAATTAACCCGTAGTAAATATTAAATTATTTGGAGTACCTAATCGTTTAAAAATTCAAATGTTTGATAAAAAAAATGTTTACTTTTTCAAATTAATAAACCGTCAGGACCTATAGGATCGACTGGAAGTTTTTTGAGGACATGGTGAAATGTGTGGATATATTTTATTATAATGGTTAATATATCTACCAATTTTATTTATCTAATAAAAACATTGTCTATAATATTATAACTGTAGACATAGCCACACAGTTTATAGTTTAACATATCTATGCAATTTTGTGTAAAATACTTTTGAAAAGTATTTGGAATAAATACTCGAATACTCATGAAAAATATATTTTATATTTTGATTTGTGTCACTCTATTCTTTCAAGGGCTGCAACAAAGATTTACTAATTCATCAATATTAAATATTGAGTAGTATATAACAAATAGTTTGAAAAGTGAACAAATTTAAAATAAATATAATTTTCATTCAAGCAAAATCATGTTAAAATATTTAGTTCTGATTCTGATCATTTAATTTTGTTAACCTATAAATTGTATTAGGTACCACTATTAAAACAAAGTAGGTATGTATGTTATAGATATTTTACATTAGTAGTTATTTTTTTTTATAAATGTAATATGAAAACTAATGGGATGAATGGTGTGGGGGGGGGGGCTTTGCCCCTACGGGTCAGTGAGCTTTTCACTATTTGTGCACTCCTAAAATTATTGGTCTAGTTGCGCCTATGGTTTATGAGTAAGACCCGTAGAAAATTGTAAGGTTAGATATTTATAAAAACAAAATAGGATCGTCGAAGCCTCGGAGGTTTTTCAACTTTGAAAATATTAACAAAATTATTATTATATAGTCTAATCTTTATCGCTGGTAATAAGTTGTAGTTACCAACTTAAAGTGCTTAACCTATATAAAATTTAACTTTAATGGATCGGCCACTTTAACTAATAGGTATTTTTTCTTCCTATTTAATATTTGAATACTTCCAATTTTGTAATAAAGTAATTTTAAATACACATTTGTGTAAAAGTGCCTTCACTGGAAGATATATTTAATCCGTTCTTTACGCCATAACTATCAAATTCATCAATTTCACTTATTGTTCAAAATTTATGTAACAGATTCAGAGGAAATAAAAATAAAGTAATAATAAAAAAAAATACACGTTTAATAGCAGATAAAATATTTTTTTAAATTAATATTAACGTTTTTTGCATATAAGTGTTTGTTGAAAAAAATAGGTAGGTATATTTAATATTATGCTCTAATAAGGCATATACCTAATTGCATATTTTAACATTTTTAAATTCATAGTTATTTTAATACAATTTTGTTGATTAACATCCAAGCTCTAGTTTATATATTTTTTTATTCATTTATTCATTCATTTTTATTAAAGCTATCAACACAAAATGGGTTCTACTAAACGCAAATTTGGTGTATCGTTATTGTCGTTTGCTTGTTGGACGAATACTATACATAGTATACATATATTACATACCACGTAGGCACGGCTATCTTTTTAGTTAGGGACAATAATTGGGCAATACACAATTTCGCTGCCGTCACCTCTCACCTATTGGCCTTTGCACTCTTTGCAGTAGTTGTCGTAATAATGATAATTATTTGTTAATGAGTATATTACAGACTACCGGGCTATCTACGCATGTGCTACAGTCCTACTGATACACAGTACACACTAAACTTGTTAACAGCMCCATAGGCATAGAATGGTGGGTGCTAAGGGGGCTATAGCACTCCAGAAATTTTTGGTGACACGTCCTCTTAAGCCGCCCCAGAAGTTTATTTAGCTCCTTGTGTAAAAGTTTACTGTTTTATACCTCCACATGTGAGAGATAATTTTAAGTAATGCGGTGAATAAAAACATGGCTACGAAATTCTTYGACTAACGACAGATTTTTAATCTATCGTTATACTCCATATTAAAAGGCAGGGCTGGATTTAAGGTTGTGTGGGCCCCACGGCCACATAAGATTGAAATATAAGAAGTTTTAGTTGATGTACATACACGCTTTAAAACTTAAACTTTAAAATTATATTACTGATGGGTTATTCCCTCATCATGCTATTAATTTCTTATCACATCAATTTTGCTCATTTAACATAATTAATATAGGTTTATAAAATGTTAATATAATTAGTAAGTAAATACAAGTAACCTTTAAAGCCATCTCTTTTAGTTTTTTAATTTAGTACATAAGAACCATTAAATAAGTAATTATTAAAATATATTTGATACTAATGAAAACTAAAATAAACCCTTCAGATTATTTTCAACAAAAGAATTGATACATAGTCATTAAATAATATTTAGCCCGTTAGTTCAAGGTACAACGTTATTTTATAACATACAAATATAAAAATATAATACTAAAGAAATATAATGTACCAAGTTATTTATAATAAACATACTTTTCTTGAATTCTTAATAGAAAATTGTTTGATGGTATCTTCAAAGTACAAGGACCTAAGTACATCACTTTTGATACTTAAAATGGTTACCTGAAAATCCTGAACAAAAATAATTCCCACGATTCTTCTTTTCTACAATCTTTTTGACGTAAATTAACCAAACTATTAAACTGCAGTAGTTCGTTCCCTAAAGTTGCTTCCAAATCTTTAGAATATATATTGACCAGAATTGTGGCAGATCATAATAATTCTGAAGTTTCTAATGTTTCTGTAATTCCAAATTTTCTGAAAAATCCAAATCGTTTACATAATATTATATCAGATTAATACCCACCCCGACGGCCCACCGACCGATGGCTCGTCTCCAACGATCGACTGCAGGTGTTCGACGACGACGCCGAAAGAGAGGGAAATGGGAGCTCGGCGCCAGCTCGATCGTCAGTCTCGCTGGACAGAGTATTATATATAGTTGAGTAATTCTATTTATAAATAAGTAGTAATGGTAGAAAATTACCAATCCTAAACTAGTGATTCGTTTTATCACACACTAATAGCACCACTTGTTAAACTTAAAAAACAACAAAAATTTTTTGGAAAATTACTAGAAAAATTAAAAACAAAAAGTTAATCATTTTAATCCTAAATCTATAGTCATGTTGAAAGAGACTTAGCTAATAATATTAAATCTGAAGATGTTCTTAATATATTTGCCCAAAAAGCAGGCGTTTAAACCTCTTAAATAGTTATCATTTCCTATCTAAAATGTTTTTTTTTTTACATGATATTTAATTCAAATACAAAATATGTATTTGATAATTATAAGATGTATAGTATATTATTTATTTATATTTTATTTGATAATGTGCTATTCTTTAGTCCTTTTTTATTTTGTTCCTTCACATTTTTTTATAGTTATATTTGTAGGATATATGTTCTGTCTTCTGTACCTCTGTACCTGAATCATATTATAGCCTTATAGTTATTATATCATGATGTGAAGTAATTAGCAAGAAGTCGCAGCATCGTCATTGATACCACGAAAAAGACTATAGCCCTCCCCACAAAAAAAAATCATCACGCTACGCCTATGAACAGTACCGTCGATCAAAAATAGAAACTGTGATTTATTGTTTGAAATATTTACGCCTTGCAATCAAATAATCTCTCAATCCTCGTTGATTAATGATTTAATTAATTTTATTATTTTAAGGATCAAAGAGGATCATTTTTTACAGGGTGCATTAGATTTCGATATATGATTACGTTGCAACAACAATAATAAAAAAAAATAAAAAAAATAAATAAAATTTGTAAAAATTATATTATATGATGGTTTAGGAATAGAATTTTGAAATTCAATGTTTTCCAATGAACCCGTTATGTTTTTATATTTTTTCTTCAAAAAATAAAAAAATGATCGTAATCGGATCACTGTACGAGGAGTAAGAGGAGTTCCTGTAAGGTATGTTTTTKAACAAAAAAAACAGGTCACGTGCAGACCATATTATTATTATGTCTACGCCACTCGTTAGGTGTCGTGTTCGTTTATTAATTAGCGTGATGTTGGAGGGGGTTCGAAACACTCCCATCGTTGCGGGAGCGTTGGCTCACGGACGGAAGTCGGAACAGTGTCATAGAGTCCATAGAGAATACAGAACACTATTCGCCCCGCCAACGGTGTGACGGTGAGTAAACGTAAACGTCCGAGTCCGACAGCATTGCGGACAGAGTTCATCGAGCCTTATCGGCAATCTTCGACAGTCGCCAGTGATAGCAGTGCTTTAATGCTATTATGATGTCATAAATGTTTTTTTTTTATTTTTTTTTATTGTAAACCGCATCAACGTTAAACGTGTGCTTGTAGGGAATGCCAAACAATTATTACTATTAAGTAATTATTAGTTAGTGGCGTTACTCGCGTTAGTGCATTATTAGTCTCCTAACCATCAACAGTTCCCGTAGAATTTTCAACGTTATTGTTTGTCTCACCCTCACATCGTTCGATTACATCGTAAATATTGTCGTTTTCGTCCTATTGTCCTATACCGCGTAAGTACTTACTATCTTGTACTGTGTGTGTGTGCATAAGTATTGTAATAAATTTATCTGTTTTGCCTTGTCCACCTGCCAATTACCAAATTTGGTCATATTGCGACACATCTCGCCTATTATGATTCACAGGAATGGGTGCAATGCTAATATTGTTGCTGTAGGTACTTGTAACAGTTATTTCTTTTTTAAACAGTGTCAAAATCAAAAAAATGCTGTCATTGTTGTTGCCATAGAATTTTTCTATAATAATTAATTCATATAAATGCTTTACTTCGTATATATTTTATTGATACCAAGTAGAAGTGTATGTGTTTTTGTTTGATATGTCTAAACTCTGAGCAAGGACAATGTTTTTTAAATCTGAATAAATTAAAGGAATGTGTGATAATACAATAATTTTCACATTGTATGTATAGTGAACACAGTGTAGATTTAAGGTTTTTTTTATTCATTAATGGTTAGTAATAGTCTTGATGCATGCGATTAATTTAAATATGTATATAATATATTATGTCATACTTATTATTATAATATGTATGGTACTTGCATGCGATTAATTTAAATATGTATATAATTTATGTAATATTTATTATAATATGTATGGTACTTATCACATAAAAATATGACATACCTAAATACAATACTTTTTATAACTTAGATAGATATCAAAACTATAGGTATCTACTATTCCAAATAGAAAATTATTTCATGATCATAACAAATTATAGAAAATTGCAATCAAATTTAATGTCCTTATTTCTATTCTGGGGATTTTTAAGACTTTTTTAGGTGTATTGTAAATTTTCAATTTTCAAATAAATTAACCTATAGGATGTATATATTTTATATATTTTACGAATAATGAAATTTTTAAATACATTTTTTGACAAACATTAATTTAGTATATTATAGTTATATAGTATAGTTTAGTTTCTATAGTACCAATGCCTAATAATAGTCTAGTCATTTTTTTATACAATGGTTAGTTTTAAATCATTGAATTTAAATCTAATCCATCCATTACTGCGATCCTTCTAGACTCCTACGTAACAATAAAGCAATCAGTTTTTTAAAAATGTATGTTAATTAGATTTAATGTGATTGAATAAACATATTAAGTTTTTTATTTTCAGTTTTTATATGGAATGTTTACTTCCAGATAAAGTAAACCCCAGAACAGAAAGAGACTGTTRGTAGATAACATTTTAGATTCTCAACATATTTTTGAAAATATAAAAACATTAACAGMTAAATTATTTAAGTATTGAATGAAAAAAAATTAAAATTGCTTCTAAAATGTTGATTAAAATTAGTACACAATGATAGACCACACCTAATTTTATTTATAATCATGACTATTACTACTATTATAATATTATAATTTTATTTTCTTTAGATTTTATATAGAGTTGTATGATTTTATACAATTTGACAATTTATCATATCATACTTATTGTATAAATAGATTGTAAATGTAATTTTTAACTAACAATTAAAAAAAATTGAATGTATTTTAGTGTCATCTGTAATTAGTTTTATCTTATTTAGAATTAGGTTCAACCCATTTAGATATAATTAATTAATAAATAATTTGTAATAGATGTAGGACATACTAATTAAAAATAAATACAATTTGATTGCTTTATATAAATAATTTATATTATTGGTGATAAAAGTAATTTATTGTTTAAATGATAGAATTATGTTATACATTGATTCAATAGTCACTTTATTTGTCCTAAGATTTTTCTTGTAATACCAATTTAAATTTCATATTTTATTGCCCAAGATAAAAAAAAAATTAAAAAAATAGTATCAATTTCTCTATAAGTTAAAAATAGTATTGATTCAATTGTAAATTTTTAAACAATTTATTTCTATTTCATGATGTGAGAWTTTTAATTTGTGTTTAATACGGTAAGCAGAATAATAATATAAGAAATATTAAAAATGACATCGATTTTATGAAACAATAGTTTTCGTATTGACTATTGAATTATGTATAAATAGTGAGTGGTCTGGTTGCAATAGGAAAATTGGTTTTAACCTATTTTGTGGTATGGCTACAGTTGTACACAGGGTTATGGTTTTTGAACACTGATACTTAAATCGGCAGAGCAGCATACAACAAAAAACTTCTCACGTTTATTTTGGTTTCTTTGATTGTGCTAATTAAATTTTAAGTAGACTATTTTCTTATTTAATTAACTTAATTATTATGAATTAAATAAACAACATTTATTATTTTACTACTAAACTTTAGTTAAATTCTTATTAATAGATAATGCATAAAATATCAAATACAAAATAATAATGGAATAAAAAAAAATTAATATAAATATAGGAAAATAAAAGTTTTGCCGATATCAGAATTCATAAAAAGAACAACACAATTTTTTTTCAACCAATAAACTGTTACATAATTTTTATGCGTACAGATCATATTTAATTATGTTAGTTTAAAAATCTGAGTGAATTGACCTCCTATATAATTTTATAGCAAGACTATTATTCAGACAATCTCATGAGTTTTTTTAATTATATTTTAATTTTTAAGCAAGCTTTAAATATTTTAAGATGTATTAAAAATGTACAATTTTAAAATTAAAAAAAACTTTTAACTTGCTTCAAAATTAAAATAAAGTAAAAGAAAAACGAGGTAGTCATCTAAATAAAATTTGCTATGTTATGCACTTTGTAAGATTGAGACAACACATGCATGTCCTCTTAATATTTTGTACTTGTTGTACTATCAATATCATCTGTTTTAGATTTCAGTTTTTCTGAGTTACCTCATATATTTGTATGCAAAGTAAAGCATATAAAAACACATAAAGAAATAGTAATTAAATTTTCTAATTGCAGTCTGCAGATCAAAAATATTAATATTGTAGGATGGGGTTAATTAAACTGAATGGTCTAACGTATTTTTATATAATTAAGAAAAACACTATTCGGTTATAATATTAGGTAATGATTGTCACTTATTGTTACAGTACGTGACACACACTATATAGCTCACAGTGCTCACACGTACTGTATGAACACTACTATTACACTTGTTGACAAAAGACAGAAGGCTGAAGCCGACTATAAGTATAAGGTACGAGGAAAACCCAACGATATATTAATAGCATAGCCTACAGTCGTACACCTTATCTTATCTTATATATTTATATATATATTACTACAATATGTATTAAAAATAWTGCGGTCTTCAATTCATACCTATTATATTTTAGATCCTGAACGAAGTGATGAATGTATTGATTTTACAATGATGTGTTTTTTTTTTTTTATGTTTGTTTTTGTGTCTGTGTACAGCATAACTAGTCGAAATAATGCTTCAATTTCAAACTTTGGGGGTGGTTTCCGATGTACAAGTGAATATCCTTGGTGCATTATAGAGGTCAAAAGTAAACATTTTCCAACA